AAGTATTAATCCTAGAAATGCGATTTTACTACCATTAGATTCGCCTTGTTGAGACGATTCCAATGAGCTATATTTCATTCTTTTCTGATCACTGGATCAAAAGTTAGCAAACTGCCTAATTGGTGACAGTATTTGGCAAAAATGCCAATCAGTCACCAATCTAAGGTTGCCTGCCGAAACCTATTTGGCTTAATGCTGAAAGGAGAAACTTCACATATAGTGCCGTAACTGCGAAACTGCGAAACTGCTAAAACTTGTGAAACTGCCAAAATTTGCGAAACCTTTATAACGAGTTTATCTGTAGTTTCAGCATAATAAATAATATTATTTTATATGAATTTCGGCATAATTACAGCATTCCTAATATTTTATTTTTAATTTCAGTCTCTAATAAATTTACATGTAATTAAACAACGTTGTAATATTCTTTCTAGGAATTCTACATAAAAAAAAAATAAATTAATTAAATTTATCAAAAAAAAAAAAAAAAACGAAATCCTTCTCCTGGTACTTTACCTTGATTACAAAAGTCCGGTCATATTTTTTCATCTGACAATTCTACAAAAAAGAAAAAAAATCAATTAAATTTATTAAAAAAAAATGATGAAAACACCTTTTCCGACTTTCCCTCACCTTAATTTTAAGAGTCTGGTCATGTTTTTCATAAATTATGAAAAAAATTAACGAAAAACTTTCACTGGTCCTCCTTTACCTTAATTTATAAATCCGTACATGTTTTTCATCTGGCAATACTACAAAAAGAAAAATAAATAAGAAATTTATTAAATAAAAAAATAACGAAAAACCTTTCTCAGTCCCCTTCTTTACCTAAATCCCAAAGTCCAGTCATATTTTTCGTCTGAAAACACTACAAAAAAGAAAAAAATAAATAAGTTAAATTTATTAAATAAAAAAACAATGAAAAACCTTTCTTCAGCCCCCTCTTTTATCTAAATTCCAAAGTCCGATCATGTTTTTCGTCCAGCAACACTACAAAAAAGAAAAAAATAAATTAGTTAAATTTATTAAAATAAAAAACAACGAAAAACCTTTCCCTCAACTCTTCCTTACTTCATTTCCAAAGTCCGGTCATATTTTTCGTCCAGCAACCTTACAATAAAGAAAAAATAAATAAATTTATTAAAATGGACCATTTTCTGGTCCTTTCTTACTTCAAAAAGTCTGGTCATACTTTTTGTCTGGCAACCCTGCTACAAAATGAAAAATAAACTATTACATTTTTTAAATAAAAACTTCATGTCCAGACCCTTCTTAGTTGTTTACCTCATAATTTTTGTCCAGAAACCTCAATACAAGAAAAAATAGATCATCAGATGATTTGTACTACGCAATCTGTTTGATAATCTAACTTTCCTGTATTAGATTGGCGTAAATCATTGACAATTCGATAAATTCAGCAAATTTTGGCAATTACGTCTGTATAAATTCAATACAGCTAAATACGGCATTATTGTGTCAAAAAAAAATCCATGCTGAAATTAATTATAGCGTATTTTTTACAGACGTAATGCCGAAACTGTAATTAATTCGCAGACAAGTATAAGATTATTTTTTATATCTGATCAGTAGATCATAATTCATAATATTGCCGAAACTATATGTATATCATATAATGTACTATGCCGAAACAGTTATGGCAACTTAGACAGTTTTGGCAGATTTCAGCAGTTATAGCATTTCAACATTTTAGACCAATTTTGCGAAACTAGTTTTGGCAGTTTCGCATATGCCATCCTGCCGAAACCTCCTAGTTTTGGCAAGCAACCTTACACCAATCGGTGACCAATCAGGTATTTGATTGGTGCCTGATTGGTGACTGATTGATGCCTGATTTTTCACTTTTCGACCTGTGATTTTGTTTCAACTGGAATTTAGGTTTATCAGGATTTTAATGTCAAAATTATAGACTGTCAATATTATAGTTATTGGGAATTTATGGTAAACTTCATAAATCAACTTACTTCTAATAAAGGTTATTAAAATTATAAAATAAAATTTATATGTAAAAAATTTTAAAGATTCTACTATATATAAATAAATTATATATAAAAAAGAAATACTACATTAAATTATTTTCTTTTTAAATTAATTAACCAATAAAATTGCTATTAAATTACTAATAAATTTAATAAATTTGAAATTTTTTATAAAAATTTCTATTATAAATAAGTGAAATGTTTATATTTTGAATTAATTCGTAATTCGGCAATCACGTGTAGTATTTTTATAATTAATTTTCGGGGGATTTTACTATTTATAGATGCAAATGATCGTCAAATACAAGAAATACCATACTATTAAAAATTTTTCTAGAATAATCCAATTGTACTAAAAATCACATGTGTTGTTTGTGAAATGTGTATCATTTTTAGACGAAAAAAAAATTTTTTGTTTATATGTTCATTTTTATGTTTTATTTGGGGCACCTGTGGATTCCAGCAATGACGCTATATATAATATTTTAACAATTTCGCTCTGAATAAACTGAAAATTAATTTACTTAACTTCTATTTATAATTTATAAGTTTATAACCATTTTTTTGTATATAAATTTGTATTTTTGAAATATTGTTTTATTCAAAACTTATGTATTATTAACGTAAGTACTATGGCTGATTTTGCACTTGACGCTCTAAAGCTATAGCCGCCATTTCACGTTTACAAGCTGCAGAATATCTACTAATCCAATTTTCAATTGTTTCTATTTTTGGTATTATTTCAGGATCCAACTCTCCACTATTTGCCATATGGATAAGTTCTGATAACATATCATTAGCTGAGTATCGATCACTTTTATCAGCATTACCTGCATGAAAAAAACCTTGCAATAATGCAATAACCTTTTTTGACATTCTTGCTCCACCTCTTTTTCCAAACTTTTGATTTGCTTTTAACGCCCGTCCAGATGCAAGTTGAAATTCTGCATTAACACTATAATATAAGCAGAAGTCAATCTAATTATTTTATAACTCAGTTTAAAAACAAGTAATATAAAATAGGGTTGGTTTTCTTACTTGAAATTATTTTCTGTATCTACAATTCCATTGTTAATTTGCACTAAATTTTCATTAGGTGTATTTATTCATAGATGCTTAGAAGAGGTATCTAAAAATTGAATAATTTAGCAATTATTGGGTTTATAGAGTAACAAATTAGAAAAAAATCACCAGAATTCGGCACTGGTATAGTCCACAAAGATTTTGGCACAGAAGGTGTAGAAATCATTGGATTTGGTTTCGTTATTTCAATTTTTGATGAATTTCGTGTTTGTATAGGAGAATAATTGGTAAAACTACCTATATTTGGCAAGGTACGTGCTTGTATAGACCCTGCAAATGGCCCATTGATTGGCCATTTCCATTCATTCATATTAGATATCCCAACCAATGATTTTATCTTTTTATCAGTTTTTTCACGATTAGGATTTATTTCCCCTACTGATGTACCACATAGATCTTTGATTGAATTTTCTATATCACTGCCTTCTCTAATTTCAAA